GATATAACTGTAGATGTCTATATATATCTTCTTATGTTTTCCGATTGGTTATCTCAAAAAACCATTTTCTCTCAAAAGCTGTGTCTTCATCTTGTTTTCTAATCTATACAAACATTGTCACTATCACAATGGAAGAAAAGTACCACCTTATACCAAAAATTTTATCTAACAATCAAAAGTAGAAAACCAAAGTAATTATTGTAGAGAAACAATCACCAAAACCTTCAAGACAATGCAATGGAAGGTACCAACACATGATGCTAATGGATACTGAGGTAAGTTGTGCATTTATTTAGTATTAGACACAAACTTTTTTTTTTTTTTGAAAATATGTTTTCTCTGTTTATTATATATAATATACATTCCTACACTAATGAATTTTTATCTTTTCATCTATTAGTGTAACACTATCCAAGCAGTTCTATATGATTCAAATATCACTACATTTGAAAATGAACTTGTTCTTGGAAGAACATATGCAATCTCTAAAGCTTATGTTAAAAATAACACTGGAAAGTACAAATATTCAACTGGAGCTCTACAATGGACGATTTCTGAAGAAACTTGTGTTTAAGGGTTGAATGACGATAACCTCAAACTTGTTTTCTCAAACCTATCACCTGACTTCTTTTGATGAAGTTGAACAGTTCATGGATACAAACACTGATAAAAGTAAAAAATTGCATTTTTATCCTCAAAATAAATAATACTGTTATATTTAATTTAATCAAATAATTAGAATTACAAGCAACACAAAAAAATTATTTATTTTTCATTTTGCAGACATCTTGACAATTGTAATTGATATGATGCCTAAATGATTGATTCAATCAAAGAATGGCAACCGAACTTGGATACAAGATGTAATACTTCTGAGGACCAAAAATTCAAAACAATGATGTTGACACTATGAGATTCATTTGTTGACAGAGAATGCAAATTGATGGTAGAAAATATTGACAAAAAAAAGTAATCTTTGCAACAAACTTAAAAGTCACATCCTTTTTCTGTATGTTTTCATTATTTTTCTTTATTTAAACTCTGCTTGAAAATGCATTTAATATGTTAGATCAATGAATTGTATAAATTTAAAACTCTCCACAAAAGTTCGTAGGATCTTATTCATGAATACTCCTTTCCTTGCAGTACAAATGTTAGTTGAATGGTATGTATGTATATTCTTATGCTTACAATTATTATGGTTTTATTCAACTTATTTACTCTTTTATTCTTTCAGGAAAGATACAAATTCAGACAAAATCGATGAGTTGATTTTAAAAAAGCCATACATTCAAAAATCTCCCACAAAATTGTCTCCTCCACTGCGCAGCAAATTCACCTTGATACAAAATCTACATGACCGACTTTTACCAGTATTTATATATTCCTATACACAATAGTATTATGGTTTCTATTTATCTTTCTTTATAAATTAAATTTTTTTTTTCAAAGAAAATTTTATTGGGTGAGTGGCACAGTAAAAATGGAAAAAATAGATCACAAACGTTGGTACATGGCTTGCAACAACTGTTATCGGCGATCAAGCGTTGGTTTTGGTGAAATATATGTTTGTATCTTCTGTAAAAGTTCCAATTTCAAAACTATTCCTCGGTAAAATATATTTTTCCGCACACACACACACACACACACATATATATTCCTAAATAAATAATTACTCTCTTTATCTCAAAACAAGAGAATATGTCCAACTATCAGATGTCACAGGGTATATAAATGCAAGTGCAATTGGTGAACTTGCAAAAAAACTTATGTTCACAGATGCACAAACTTTGATGTAAGAAACAAACTTTGTAATAATTTACAGTCTCCTCCAATCTCTATATTTGGTGGATTTCTTCATAACATCCATATTTTTTATACAGAGTTCAGAAGCAAATTTTTTGGAGATGTAATTTCGAAAAATGCAAAACATTGAAAGAGTATTCGATCTCAAAGCGACTCAAACAAAACCTAATTCATCAAATTACAAATTTGACATCGTTTCCATCGAATCTTTAATTGCAGAAGAACAACAAGAATGCCACCAAAAAAATATTGATTCTGAAAAAAGTCTGAAAATTTTTGACATAGATACCGATGACAATTGGTCCCCTCCAGCAAAGAGAGCTCTTTTCAAATCAGCTATTGAGTAGTCAGAAAGTTCCAATTCAAATCCATTTACTTCAAACAAAATGAAAGAAAAAATGGCGTAAAAAATGGAAGAAAAAAATTCAGCTATACTATCTTTTGAATTAGCTCGAATACCAAGCCAGATCATTTTGGACAATATTATATATATTTTTGCTGTGGCTTGTACTTATTTTGTAGCTTTCAATGAAATTAATTTTTGTTCAATTTACATCTCAATTATAAAAACAGTAATTTCTCATTTTCAAAAACTTAAAATACTTTTTTTTTTAAAAATTCATACATTCCATGCTAATAATAACAATATCTATACAATACTCGTGAGGCAGGCACTAGTCTAAGAAAATAACAAGGACAATTATTAGCTAATAGTATTAAGAGGACAGGTACAAAACGAGAGGAGGTATCAAAAGACTCAATAATGAATTGACAGAAAAATGATGAATAAAAAATAGAGCAGGGCCTGCTTGAAATACCTTTAATCAAACTCATCTCATTCTTTTGATTATTCTCCATAATTATCAAGCCATCTCTATTATAAAGATCTCTAACTACCTATTAGTATTTACAGTCCTTAGCCCAGTGTTTACTATCGGGGTATGATTAGTATATACAAAGCCCCTATTTGTTTCGATTGGGTCCTGAAGACTATCCCGACCTATTTCTTCAGCCACTACAATGGCAACATTGTTAGTTTAGTCGAGAGAGCCAGAACTGCTCCTGTAGGTTAGTTCTCTATTCCCAGACCCCTGATGTACCATTTGGCCATTTTTGCCACTATTTGTAACAGGAATCCTGTATGAAAAGAAACATTAGTAAGACAAAAATGGAAAAATTATGAGAAACAAATACAAAAATTAAGATCAAGAACACTAATGTAACCACACAACCAAAAGAAACTGAGTTAGGACAGACTACTGGCAAATAAACAAGACATGGCAGAACTCTACTCCCCTAACCCTGAGTAAATGAATCTTCTGCAGCCGAAACACACAGAGCAATCCCTAGCACAAGATATTTATTCATGCAGGGCAAAAAAATGCAACCAGTCAAATAAGTCAGCCCTTGGACAAAAAGAGTATATAGAAACATCTCAAAGTACCTCCCCCATTGAAATTTGGAAGGTTGAAGATAATAAAAAAACTGGAACCTAGTTTTTTTTTTACCTCATTTCAAGCGTGCGAACAGGGATTCTTTCAATTTCAATCTCTCTCCTACAAGCACCTTCCTCGTCTATATTACAGCCATCAGTCAGCATTGACTGAAAATATATCTGCCCATAAATATTTCAAGAAAATGATATCATTCAACGAAGATAGCACAATTTACTCAAAAACCATCAAATTTTTTGGGGAAGATAAGGTACCTCAGATCTCGACCACAATGGATTCTGACTTTGTGCATCTGGAGTTTCGCCTCAGATATATGCATATGATGTCTTTCATCAGTAATGTTATCTTTTGTGGTTGTAACCACAACATTGGAACGTATACTGTTTTCATTTCTTGTTGAAATACTTTACTGCTATCTAAATTTACTTTTTAACCATAGATATTATCTCTCGCTCCTTTCTGTTTTTTTTTTTGACAAATATTCCACTTCTGAATTGGCTCCGCTGCTAATCCTATATCACAATTGAGGCCTGATTCACAAGTGGACTTGCTCCAGGCAAAGATGTTGTGCTATCAACCACAGGAGATAGCCGCAGTGCATATTGAACAATGTTACCAGAAGGAGAAAAAACCATCTGGTAATAGTTTTTCTTAGGAGAACTAGTATCCGCATACAAATCATTGGCTTTGCAGTTGTAGAAAGCAGAAGCAATCATTCCAGGGAGAGAACTCGTCCACCCAGTTGCAGCTGCAGCAGCACCACTCTGTGTTTCTCCATCCACTATTTCCGTGCTCTATTCAGCTAACAGCATTAACTGCAATTGGGGGCCCGGACACGCAGACACTCTGTTGGGTTAGCACCTGCAATCCTGAACTTGGTGGCTTGCAAGCCATGGGATCTGCCATCAAGCTGGATCCAGTTTTTCTTGTACTAAAACAAGCAAATTAACCCTCCTGAAGGAGAAATAAGAAAGAGATGACTTGTTCCTTTCGAGGAACTAATCATAATCCATTGGCTGTCAACACTAAAACTTATACCCTGTATGACCTGAGAAAGCATTACCAAAGAGAAAAGAGTCAGTTCCTTTTTCACTAACAAAACTAAATCAAATAAATGAAACAACAAATCTATCTTTCACAGCACTTGTGAAACCACGTTGAAGCCTATAAATATGGCAATAAGGACCAGAAGAAGCTCCAGAATGTCCAGGCATAATACGAAAAACATTGATATTGAACTGAAGCCGTCACTAAAAGGATGCCAATAGGATCAAAGCATAGTGATTGAATTGGACTTTTATGTGCCCTAAACTGTGCAACGATATTTCTGGTGACTGTGTCTCTGACAATAACCTGACAGATGAATTACAAACAAACATGTAAGTGTAAAAGTTTAAACTGAAATGCAAGGACATTAAAATAACAGTTCCGTTCCTGGATTGAGCAGGGAAAGCACAGAGAAAAAGTAACCAAGCACCAGAACTTATAGTGAAACTATAGTCACATTAGGCTTGATAACTTGCAGAGGTCAATTTGACAGCAATGACAACAGTAGCATAGTAAATTCATTCAAATTGTGTGCAAAATCCAACAGAGATTCTCTTGAGAAGCATATTTTGTGCCATGCCAACATCGTGCGCTTCAGGCGAAGCAATGCAATTTGCCTCCCCTCGAGCAGTCCCAGACAGCGAGATGTTGCCATCAGGTACAATCAGCTCAGAGTAATACCTTGATAGTTTCTTATAATCCATGTCTCCTAGTCACAATACCAGCAGCAAGTTTCTTGCCTGACTCTTTTGAAAAATGTGCAACGAGGCTTTCATTTGAAGCGGGATTAAGAAAAATGGCCGAGTAGGTAAGGTGTTGTGGACTCACACGCCTGGAATCTGAAATTGCAACTTGACTCCCACTGTAAGCCATCCATCTGGGACCCAGTGCAAGCGGTCCAAAGCCTATATTTCCTGACCCAGAACTCCCCATAAAAAATGGATTTGTAAGAATCGTATATTCTCTCTCTAATGTCACAGCATTGAAACAGTGTATCTGTCAAACGGACATCTAATTCATATGTTCCCAACTAGACAAATAAACATAGACAGCTTATAAAAGGGAAAAATGTGTTTGTAAACATACATGATTTGACTGCAAAATGGCAATAAATCGAGAGCTACATCTCACTGAATGAACAACTGATCTAAACCTTAAAAGATGTATATATGACTGAGATCTCAAGGAATAAAACCAAACCACAATAGGAACGCAACTACCATTTAGTGAACCATGGCAGTGTCGGATGGACCCATTACAAGGAGAACCCAACCTCTCCTGGTTGTTATTACCTCCAGAGAAGGATCCATCAGCACAGATGATCAGCAATGGGCAACTGTCTGCAAACTTATCCCCAGACTGCTTTGATGCCATTGGCTTTGGTAACATTTGCATAAATGAAACGGGACCATCATGCCTGGAAACTAAGTTGAGCTTATTGGCTGTTTCTTCAACATCCCAAACCTGAAAGCCGTCACTGTAGCCCAGCAAAAGAACTTGTTGGGTGATGCCTCCTGCATCTTCTAATTTGTCAAACCCAGCCCAGTTAACCTTAATTGGTAATCGGAAAATAAAAATTGATAAGCTCCACCTATATCAGATCTAGAATACATGAATAGGAATCATTTAGTTATTAAAATGAATTAGCATGAGACGGGGATCATAATGACAAGCCCTTACAGTAGCAAGTGTCCTTGTCACAGTTCATCTAATCAAGAGCTACAATTTCAAGTGCACAAAAGCATATCTTAATATTGATTATAGTTATAAAAGATGTGCCACTGAAACAATTAACAAGAATCACTTTTGAAAGATTGGCCTAATGGGAAAACTGTCAGCTCTCTTTGAAATTAATACAAACTGTCCAAGTAACATAACACCATGTAAATAGTAAACTAGCATGTAGGGAACATTTGAAGAAACAATACTAATGTAGATCATAATTGTCAACAAAATTTCACATGGACAGACGAAGTAAAAATTTTAATGAATGATCGGTAAAAGACACGGAAAATGCTAAAGGACATGATCCTTAACCTGAGATTTAAGTTCCAACAATACTGCAAAACTTTGTCCAAATATTGAAGCATGGCAACCAATGACAATCACTCTCCCAAACTGGAAAACTGGAAAACTGGAAAACTGAAAAAATAAAAAATAAAAAGAAGACCTGAAAGTCCTCTAAAAAATTATGAAGTAAATTTCAGTAGTTTAACCAACTATAATGTCAAAACTGCCAAATTAGATTGAGAAGGTTGGATTCTGATAATTGTTAAGAAATTCATGGTTCCTTCAATAACCCCTTCCTACGCACTCCCTGAACAGGGAAAAAATGGAAAGAAAAAGAAAAAAAATAATAACAGAGACAAAAAAAAAAAAAAAAAAAAAAAAAATACGCACTCCCTGAACAGGGAAAAAATGGAAAGAAAAAGAAAAAAAATAATAACAGAGACAAAAAAAAAAAAAAAAAAAAAAAGGCCCACAGACCCCAAACAAAATCCACGTGGAGATACGGCCATTTTTCCAATAATAGTAGTGACGTGTACAATGAAAATACAAAGCATTGAAACGTTTGAAAAAAGTATACAAACAACTTTATGAACGCCGCAATAACCGAAACCATCAAAACAGAATGTAGACAACTTTACGTAAGTCACATTAAGGGTGTGTTTGATTACATTTATTTTTCATGGAAAATATCAGTTTTCCACGCAAATTTCTATTTGGAGTGTTTGATTGCTATTTTTTTCCATGGAAAACATTTTCCAACTTTTGAAAATATGCCTAATTTTCCTTGTTTTTAAGGAAAATATTTTTTTTTTTTAGGTGGTATTTTCTATGTCAATCAAACACATTCTAACAGAAATCAACACAGAATACAAACAACTTTACGAATGCCGCAATAACCAAAACCATCAAAATTCTATGCATTTAAAGCCGTTAAATTCTATTCTTTTCCAGGACTAACATATAAATATATGTTTCAAGATTGACAGAGAAAAAGACCCATAATCTCATATGTTTACGTGATTATAAAAATCCATGCATATACGTGATACTGTGATTGAAAGTAAAAACCAGATTTGTCAAAATAAATATGTTCACAATTTTTTTTAATAAAAAATAATTTGCTCGTGCTCTTGCTCTTGCTGGAGAAGTCTATGCAAAATAAGATATAATAAATCCGAGCATTTCAAAATCCTAAAATTTTAATCTTCTTTGTGAACACCTTCTTGAATTGTAGCAACTAATACATCCAGCAGCTGCATACAGAACCTAGTTGTTACCATTCTCTCCTAACCCACGAAGAGGGAAGATATAAGAATAACACACAGCAAAAGATCAAATCTAAATAACACCATGAGTTCAAGACTTCAAGCTGCAAATTTTCAACCTTGATCTGAAAGTAATCATTCAAAGCTAAAATTTCCAAAAATAGCAGCACCATCTATTTAATTAAAAACTTTGCAACCCCATTTTGAAAGGAAAAGAAGAAAATCAAATAGAACTCCATATACAGTTGAAAGCAGGATACAGCAACCAATCTTAACAAACAAAACGTATGGGCTGTAAATAAAAACTAAAAATGATTAAAGTACATAAATTTCTCTTAATTATCCATATCGAAATTTACAACTCAAAGAAATTTTGTTTTGAAGTCTCACCTGAAAATCTACGGATTCCGAGTCTCTATCGGAAATACCCGAAGCCGCAGACCTTACTGTGGAGGCACCAGAAGAAACAATCCTCAGGTAGCCTGAAAGAGCCTTGAATGATGTGGGGAGGATCCCACTATTGCCTCGGCCTGGCCTTGGCACCGCTAGCCATCCTTCACCGCCACTAATTTTCCGGTCATCATTCCTCATCCCCAAACTTCACCACCGAAGAGAAAATCTCACACGTAACTCGCAGAAAACACACCGCTAAAGATGTTCAGCTCTCTTACAACGAAAATAACCTCATGTCCCTTTATAGCACTAATAAAACAAAAGTCCACAGAAAAACTTGATCCCCTGAGCTTACAGGTGTATGCATTTTTCGCTCACAATTTAAAAACCATGCAGCTCGCAATAAAAAAATGGCTCAACCATACTTACCGAGCGTCATCTTCTGTTTTTCCCTCCTCGCCATTTCATTAGTGGCACCACCTCAAAAAATAAATGTAAAATATGAAACATTAAAAAGGGTGGCTGATGAGCTCTAATAATACAATTTTTGATAATATAGACAACAACAATATTCCACAAATAAAATAATTGTCGTCTGTAATTTTTCTGGTTATTTGCCTCTATACAAACCTAAGGGTCTGTTTGATTGCAATAACGGAATTTGGGTGGAAAGAAAATGAATTTCAGGAAATTGAATTGCTTAGAACTTATTTTATTGAGAATTGTCAATTAAATGTGTTTGATTAGTATAATTTTTCACCTAAAAAATATTGAAATTTTGGATCTTTTAAGTGTTCGTTTGGGTTTGTTTTTTATGAAAATTGTCAATTAAATGAATAGATTTTTTACAATTGTGATTTGAATTTATTTTCATTGCCAAAAAAAATTAACAGACCCTAAGATCCATTTTAGATTTTTTTACATTTTGGATAGAATTTTGGCTATCCAACGTGCCAAAATGGCGGAAAATAAAATTATTTTACATAGAGAATGTAATCTATCAATCACACCCTAAGTTCAAAAAATCCAAAGAATTTATAATCATAAAAAGCATCTATACAAGTTGAATCGAAAACATTGAAAAGTTGAAATCAAATTGAACTCTTAATTTGTTCGATGATTCCTGAGATAGATGACGTGTAGAGAGAGAAAATCAAATGCACATACATATAGTTTTAGAGGAAGAAGCAGAAACTCTGACGGGATGAGGATAACGAAGAGAGCTAATTATAATTTTTAGTTAATTTTTCTATTTCATCTGTTCAATTCCATGGTCAACTGAATTCTAAAGCGGCAAGGTAAGGTAAACTGTAAAATTCAATTCGAAATTAAAACCGACCCATCAAGTTAAAACTACAACTCTTTAAAAAAAAAAAAAAAAAAAAAAAAATTTTGAAAAAATGTTTAAAAAAAAAAAAAAAAAAAAAAATTTTGAAAACTCGGAAAAAAAAAATCTATAATTTTTATTTTTATTGAAATTCAGAAATTTAAACCGAAACTTTATAGAAACATATTTGATAACATAGATCAAGATATCAATACGATATCATATTAAAGTTAACTTAATGTAGGTAATAGCTACCGAAGACATTCCTTCTACCAATAAATTTGACTCTACAAATCTGCTAAACATTTTAAAATAGAGTAATGAAATTCATAGTCAACTACTGTAATAATCATCTTATGTGACATATTGTTATTTGAGGTAATAAATAATAAAAAGTTATTACATTGAATGACTACAACAGCTACTAACTATAAATAATATTACTATACCCGTTATTAACTCTAGTTAAGGCATAATTTCTTCTCTTTCGTGTTTAACCACAGGCTATTATGGATTACATTGTCTGTTAGATGGTCGTAGTAATTGAATCTTTATTCACCCTTGGAACATTTTGATCGTTAAATCAATTTATGTTAATGGCTATGTTTAGAGTCCGTTCGACAAGACTTCTACTTTTGTTTCGGTTTATTGTAGAAGAATTTCATGAAAAAACTATCATATGATAGCTTCTTATAAAAAAAAAAAATTAGATAGATAAAATACCTTCAAAAAATTATAAAAACACGTTCAAAATCAATTTTTTAATATCAAAAGTAATTTTTGCTTTCCAAACCCGCTAACAAACGAGCCCTAATTCATTGATGAGATGAGCCACCCGTTAATTATTAAATTATAAGAGCATTTTCCCCAAAAATAAATAAATAAATAAAAATAAATAAAATTTCTATTCATAGAGAGCGTTTTGTACGTAAAAAAATTATCTTTTACTTTAGACAATAAATTTTTTTAGCTCTTCATTTCTCAACCTAGACTCCGTCTCATGAACATGTAGCTACTGATGGACGGAGCAAACATAGGTATTTGGAGGTTGAGAATCAGATCTGACGGTTGGGAGAAGGGGGAGTATGGTTAGACGCGTGGATTATTAAATGAGTTAACCAAAATGGTGACGGGATCCGATTGAGAATGTGCTGTTCATTTTCTTCCGGGTCAAGATCTTATGCTTGTCACCTCTTTTTAGTGGATGTAATATGATAAATTTAGGGCAATGCTCATTCGATCCACAATTTACTCTAAGGTAGTGTTTTATAGCATGGAATTACATAGAAATGGAATTCCAATTCCATCTTTTCCATTTTTTTTTTTGTTTGATAGCACAATTATTTCCGTGGAATTCCAATTCTTGATTGTATTGGAAAGTGTGGTTTCCATGTTTTCATGGAAAAACGAGTACTCTAACATTTTATTTTTTTTCATTTTTCATTTATTTTTATTTTTATTTTTATTTTTATTTTTATTTTTTTGGTAATGGAAACAAATTATAAGAATTATTGTAAAAAAATATTTTCCTTTAATTAACAATTTTAATGTAAAATAAAGTCAAACGAACACCCAAAGATAGCTGAATTTCTTGAATATTTTTTTTATTTTTTATTTTGGCAATGGAAACAAATTTCATTTTCAATACAAGTAAATTTCATCCATTTAATTGACAATTTTCATGTAAAACAAAGTCAAACAAATATCAAAAAATATTTTTATTTCAACATTTTCCACGTGAAAAATTATAACATTCAAACCCGCAAGGTGGAATTGGTTTTGTTACAAGCTGGAGTTACCATATGGGTTAACAGCCTTGACCTATTCATATGCTCTCCACCTTGACTCCTGGGAAGCACATCCTGCGATTTACCTCCTCCACGATGGCCCAGGGCAGGGTCCGTGGGGGCCCTTAAGGTTGGGGTTCAACCTTTTTTTTTTTTTTTTTTTTTAATATTCATCCTTTAAGTATTGCGTAAATTGCGCGACAGAGTAGCATGAAAGATTCTCTTGAATCTCTAGATCTTTTTGCAGCTTCTTCTCTACGTCAGCTGAATCTTCTGGTACAAACCATAGGCAAAATGAAAAATGATTTTCAATAATATTTCCTTGCAAGTGCCTGAACAAGCAAGTACGAAAAGCAAAACGGTTGATTTTCATGGAAAGATAAGCAGACAAAATGACAAAACAATGCAACATCGGATCTAAAAATAGAAAGGAGAAGGTAAACAAGGATTCTCTCTTCAATGGAGAGATAAGTTTCCCAGTTTCCGTGTCAGATAGGTTTTCTTCTTCATTTACAGCAAATTCTTCACCATTTTCTTCCGCCGAAGGATCAGTTACTGGATGAAAATAATATAAAAAGATCCAGAGAATTTAATGAAAATTATATATACATACACACACACACACACACACATTGTGGATGGATGGAAATAGCTGCACTCTATATTTAATAAGTCAGAATGTCTTTTGATTTGTAAAGAATAGGCATATCAAATCGAGCAATTTGGTATTGTATTTGCTCATTTTGTATAGTTGGTGAGTGATCTTCTTCATTGTCTCAAGTACTTTATTTCATCGTATTAGTTCGACCCTCATCATTTGATGCTCGACTTTTTACTAGACAAGTTGGGTACATAAAGAACACAGCTCGATTAGTATTGAATAGAAGTTCTCATGAAACCTTGGTCTCAATCAATTTGAAACATGAGTCATAACGAGTCTTACCACATCAATTTGAGGAGTGCATTATATCACGTCACAGCGCTTCATCATTTTTAGTATCCAAAATAAAAAAATTATTACCATTCTGATTTGATCGTCAACTTCTCTCATAAGAATTTTAATTTTGATACTAATAATTAAACACATTAACCTCTGCTGTTATAACTCAGATTCATCTTCGGGAAGAATCCAGTCTGAGGATATCATCCTTATTGGCTGATGGAATTGTCGTCAATCCTGGTGCTGTGTTGCCAGATTTCTCAATTACTTACTTCTTTGTTCAATGCTTATTGTCGAATTCTATCTATATCTCTAATGACAGATAAAAAAGAGTCGTAATCAATGCTTACAAGATCCCAAAACGTATGTTTCTACATTTACGAAAACCGAAAGCTTTGACAAGATTTTCACTCCAAAGAAGGTAAGCAGGGCAGTAGTGCCAGCATTGTGGGGCTTAGTCAGTGGCAGAGCTAACACTCGAGAGTATGCAGAATTTACTCAATCATTTACGAATTCAAACTTAAGTTATGTATACGTTTTACATAAATACTATAGTGCATAAATTTGCCTCAACGTAAAATTTTTATAGAGTTATGGTTCCAATTGGGAATTTTATATCACAGTGAAAAACGTCAACTTTTCAGCGAGATGTTTATGGATCACTCGTCCTATATTCTCAATAAAAATAGAATTGAAGAGGTTAGGATGGATATACTATATACTAAAAATAAAATAAGATTAGAAATGCTAATGTACGTAGTATTTTTGTAGTTGCCGATGATATATTAATTTTATTCTTTCTACACAATAGCAAAAACAAATAAACTAACAGACCTTAAATCTATTGAGATTAAAACTTAATATTGTTAATACATAATAGCACAAAACGTCATTAACTTTTAATGTCATTGTACAAAACGTCCATACCTTTTTTTTTTTTGGCATTTTCACCCTTATTTCCATATTTCATTGCACAAAGGTCATTTTAATTTATTTTTCAATAAAAAGACGATTTTACCCTCCAATTTAAATAAAACAAAAAGAAATGAAATGAAAGGATAAAGAACTAGTTGCAACAATAGATCTAAATTTTGAAAAAATTACAAATTAATCGCACATAAATAATAAATAAAAAAAAAATCATTCATCTTCCTCCTCCACCTTCTTGTTCCACATCTTAACTTCTGCATGCTTAATTCTCACGATGCTCTCCAATTCATCATAAACGGGTTCTTTCCCAATTCGTAAATCCATGTTCATTTTGTATTTATCATCCCTCTTGTCATCAAAACTGGAAAGTAAACCAACAGATTTTTCCGAAGAAGGCGTCTTGTCTAAAGAAACGGACTTTAGCTACAGGGGTCCTTGGCTAGACCCAATAATACCATTACTGCCTTTTTTATTTGTTGTTGGTAAATCTTCTTGAATTCGGTAGGAACAAAGCCTAGCTTCAACAAATCGGATTCTGCAATTAAAGAGGTGCAAGTGAAGACATTATTCATGCTATGCAAAGGAAGAATAACAAAGATATATATATAATTTTTTTTTTATTATTATTTTTTTTAAAGCTACACACATTGAGAGAGGGGGCAGGGGGAAGAAGATGAATGAATTTTTCTTATTTCAATTTTTTTAGTTTTGATTTTTAATTATATATTTGTGATTAATATGTAATTTTTTGAAATTTGAGACTATTGTTGCAATTAATTTTTTATCCTTTCATTTCATTTCTTTTTGTTCTATTTAAATAGAAGGATAAATCATCTTTTTTTTATTGGAAAAATGGATAAAAATGACTTTTTGCGCAATAAAAATAGGGGTGAAACTACCAAAAAATGAAAGATAAAAACGTTTTGCACATTGACATTGAAAGGTAGAGACGTTTTTGGCTATTTACCCATACATTTTGCGAAAACTTTACGTGTTTCAATTTCTATTCCAATAGTATTTTAAGTCGAAATGACTTGATTCTCATTTCATATAATGTAAGAATTGTTCACACATATTCTGAAACTTTCTCAGCCCACTTGAAGTGCGTCAAGATCAACAAACTGACCTTGAAGAGAAGGAAGCCTATCTAATCTACAGGAGAAGAGGAAATGGTTCATTATAACTAAATGAACTTGTGCTGGTTACCAACCAGAACTGATCATTCAGCACAGGAACTGGAAAACTGATTGTGCTGAAACTCAATTAGCATTTCACCATTACAGCCCGTAGACATATAAATAAAGGTTTTGGCATAAGAAATATGACATACCGTTCCTTCACAAGATACAAGACGCTGATGTACTTCACTTTCCAGCTTCAGAAAATAAATCTCCTAGTACTTTCATCGGGGCCTTCAGCTTCTTTTTTCTTTCACTTTTAATAAATGCTGATTTATACGTTTGTTGGCATGCTTTTATGACACAACAAACATGAGGATCGTCTCTCGGTATCTTGCTTAGCATATTTGCTGCGGATTTCTGGTCTCCTGAAGCCAAAAGAGCCTGATACATCCTGCAACAAATTTTAACAATCGAAACGAATTCAAAAACATAACATGTCTTAAAACTATAAAGTACCATGTCAAAATCCTTGTATTCAATTTTAAAGCAAAAAACTAGCATATTCCTTGAAATCAAACGTATTTCCTCAATATCTACCAAATATACAGGCAAAAAAAACCTAGAATTGTCACATTATCAATACGCAATAAGACATTAAATCTCCACTCCCTCTTACACACACATGCAAGCGCAGACTTGTGAAATTGAACCTAATTAAAAAATCTGCTATTGTAAAGAGCAGACCAGCTCATGCAGAGAAGGATTATGCACTTCCGAAGGTCTCCCAATGCCTACCCAAAGGCAGCAAACCAACATTGTGCTTGGTATGTGCTGAATATATGCCCAGAAAAGCACCCAAACAGTCATCCAATGTTGGGATGGATTCGTGATTCATAAGGCTGGACCGGATGGATTCAAATTCAGCTCGCACTTTCATGAGAAATTGAGCCTCTTGGTGACTTCATGCACAATTTGGACAGCCTCCAAAACTGTCAAGTGATACCGAAACATAGATAATGTCTGTATACTTAATCCAAAGATTCGTAAAACTAGAATAATATATTTTAATGGAGCGAAGTCCTGATAAAAATTTGCCAATTGAAACTCTAACTGCAGCCGCCGAGCATTGTTGCTTTGAGAGTAGATTTTTCTTCAAGTACTCCCACATAGAACGAGCTGACTTGTAAAGCCTGAGATTAATCAACAAAACTAATGATCTAGGCCATAATCCAGGAATCTTTGATTTTCCAAGCATGATATTTCTCCTTGCCCTTCTCTTGGTCCGGACGCGAAATACTTCCACCAATAGATCCTCACAGATCGTCTTTCCCTTCAAGTCGGGTCTAGTTTACACTTGCAGCTGCAGGCATGCTGCACAGATCACTGTTCCCGAGCCTCCTCCTCAACCGACTGTCTCCTCAAGCCCCCCGGATCCACCACCTACGACATCAGATCCCCCCTTTTAATCGACAGAAGTGGATGTCCATTCTCCAAACTTGAATGATAGAATGGGATGTGTGTGTGTTAAGAGAGACAAAGGAGCAGTTGCAAGACTTGCAACTAGGAAAAATTAGGGACAGTGAGTGAAACTAAACAACTGTCAATTTTTAGATGGATAGAGCATGAGAGCAGACTAATAGAAATAAAGGTTCTAAGCACAGTCATCTTGCCCAGCCAGAGCACCGAATCACTAGGTTCATGGATAAGCTAGTTGGTCATTGGTAGGACTGCAAATTTAGACAAAAATTTATTTTAAACAGAAAATAAATATGCCTGTAAATTCAAAATTATTATATGGCATAAAATAAAATTAGCATAGTAATAAAAAGACGATAAGAGCTCAAGCATTTTGTCCTATCAAACATATTTAATTGGTTTTATTCTTATTTCATGCTCTATTTTATTCACTTAATGGTATTATTACTTAGACTTTTCAATTTCTCATCATTTGTTATGGTTTTTAATTTGACAGTAAAAGATAGATCAAGAATTAAGGGTCTTAAATAAGAATTTGTTTTTCATTTTGCACATCGAGTTTACAAATTCAGTATTGGTGTTCCTTCCTTATCAACCCAGTTCATTATGATGATAAGGTGTTGTACTAAAAGATAAATGGTACATTTTGTGGTTTTAGATTTAAAGTTGACTTTGTGCAATGTGCTTCTTTTGATATTTAAATAACTAGTAATGTATTTTTTTCTACAATATATAGAAAGAATGGAAGGTTGAGAAACATTTTGTCTAAAAAGGCTGAAATAATCATCTTTTGACCCATATTTGGAGTAAGTGCAGATAAATTACTAGTGGAGGTAGGGATGGCAGTGGGCCAAGCCGAGCTCGGGTCATTGCTCGTGGGCACGAGCAGCTCGCGAGCTCGTGAAATTATATATATATTTTTTTTTTTGGTGCAAATTTTTCAAATTTTATTGATAAAATTTTATTTTTTTCCAAATTTTTGGACGAGCCGGCTCGTTGGACGGGACCCCCCGCTCGGGCTCGTCAAATGCAGCCCACGAGCTGAGCTTTGGCGAGCCGAGCCGGCTCGACCCAATTGACATCCCTAAGTGGAGGAGGATGTAGTACCAACTGTAGCTTGATAAGCATTAGGATGATGATTCCGAGGTCCAATAGGACATTCTTTGATAATATGTCCCAGATTTTTGCAGTAATTCCAAGACTTCTTACATTAAGCAGCGATATGTCCATATTCTTTACAACTGAAACACTGAACTCTCCGCATGTCTCGTCCCTTGCCTTTCTCGTGAGTGACTAGAGATGTCAACGAGCCGAAATTACTAGCTAGAGCTTTTTTTGTTCGAGCCGAGCAAAAGCTCATCCAAAAAATTAAGGCTCGACCTGAGCTTTCGGCCAGAGCCGACTCAATTTTCTGGAAATATATTTTTTTTAACTGCCTATAGCTGCTAAACAAGCAGCTAAATTCCTCTTCCATGGCCTCCCGCCAACATAAATGCTGAACAGCCTTGGAATAACATGAAGGAATGGGAGTAGAGGACAAAGTATCAAGAAGAGATGTATGAGAGTAACCATATCAATCAGGAGAACGAGGGAACGAGGGATCCTAGAATAGAGATGAGGGATGTTGCCAAAATCTAGATCATCCATTGAAAGTACAACCTGATCTGGCTCAAATGGTGGGCCCTTAGCAAAAGGGACGATCAAAACAAGTTCTGATGATGGGCATGCTCAGAGAGGGGCAAAGTCGATCGTCATCGTTAAAACACCAATCTAGATTTGAATCACTCATGGGTACGAGTCAAGTCATCACAATGTGGAAGGGCAAAGATTCAACATAATTAGAAAAGAAGTATTGATTTTCAAAGAAAACAACATGACGAGTTATGAAAACTGTTAGCATAGATCATAGCAAACATAACCTTAATGAAATACCATAACCAATGAACACACATCTAACATATTAAGCAGATAATTTATTACGTTCATGAGGTGGCAAATGTACAAGACACATGCAACCAAAGGTATGCATATCAAGATAGTGAGGATGCTCATGATACAATCAATAGTAGGGAGTATCAAAACTCAAGACACTAGAAGGCAATTTATTAATTAAATAAACTGTTGTAGATAACGCTTCGACCTGAAATTTAGAGGGAACGGAAGATTCAATCAATGACATACAAACCACATCTAACATATGTCGATTCTTACGTTCAACAACAACATTTTATTAAGGTGTACAAGGACGAGTATTGAGAAACAATGTCTTTAGTCTGAAGAAATGTATAAGAGTGATGAGATATATATTCACCCTCTGAATCAAATAGTAAAACCTTAATGCTAGAAAAAAAAATTGATTTTCAACATAGGCAACAAATTGTTGAAAGATAGATAACACCTCAGGTTTAGATCGAAGAAATTAAATCCAAATATATTTACCATAATCATCAATAAACATGACAAAGTATTTATAATGAGTACGAGAGACAACAAGAGACATACCAAGGACGTCAATGTGAATCAAATCAAAACAATATTCAGAATGACTACCATAAAATGGAAAAAAGATGGATTTACTCTTGCCCAATCTACAAGTTGAGCAATCAAAGGAAATGGCTGAAAAAATTTTATTTCCCAACAAACCTCGATATTATTGGTGTTCTTCAAATTTTATATTAATGTCCACATCAAGTTAAAACTTTTTACAACGGTAGTTTCTTTCAATTATGTAAAAATTAGTGTTTGCATCTGTTAAAGAATTTTGCCCAATCATTTTGCTTTTTAATACACATTGGGTGGATCTATATTCTCCACTTTGGCGCATTTTGTGTTTTTACCCGAAGTATTATGTTTTCCAATAATTTGGTCTGATTAATTTTTACTATAGTTTACGTATCTGCAAATTATATGTTGTTTTTCAATGTTTTGGTTTATTTAGTGTAATGAGTTTTTTCTTCTTTTTTAAATTTGTATTTTCTATCAATTTTTTTTTTTTTTTTAACATTTTATTATTACAATACCACATGCAATGCACGTTTTCTTAAGTAGTATACAGTATGTACCTATATAATTTTATTTTTAATATTTTGTGAATGTACATTAATAAATATATATAATTAATCAGGAAAGACTAAAGAACACACATATTAGGTCACGTAAAAGGAGCACTACGCACTAGATCAACAAGTTAATATTTCAGGTAGAGCATTAAAACACAATTAGTGTTCTCCAACTTTGAGTTCTCAATGACCATCACTCTTGCTTACCTCATCTGCACCCTCACTACAAGTCGCTAAGAGAATATTCCCTGTTCGCCAGGTGGAATGATATTCTGAAGTTGTATAGCAATCTATATGGAAGGGGAGACCTCAAGTATCCCAATTGAACTTGCTTAGCCATGATCTAATCCCAGCCCCAACTTGGATCTACTATGCAAAAAATCCATTGCCGATTTAACATTCCAGATGAGGGATACTCACATAAGAATTTTTCATATTCAGAGTGAGATTCTGACCCAAATATTGTGCATCCCTGAGAGAGATCTGTCACACTTGTGGACATTCATTTTGCAGAAACTGTGACAGTTATAAATTCTAACGAGGATAGCACAAAAAGCTATTGGCAATTTGACTCCATAACACGAGTTCATGTGGAAAATGAATTAGATAGTACTTGGAAGATTCTGAGTCAAATGTCGAGCATTTCACACCTCAGAGAGAAGCTCGGTCGCCCTTATAACTCATTGTTAACTTTCTTTACACAAAATTCAACAGTTTTAATCCTAATTAGGAGATAACAGGAAGAATGCCATTAGGAATGTTAAATTCCAGTAGCATACTACTAAGACAATAATATATTTGTGTTTGCAGTCAGTAGACCTAGTGTTGCTATCGTAAAAAATTCAGCAGTTGCCATGACTCCTGATTCTTTAAATAGAACACCAGGAACTTGGTGTCTTTGGTTTTATTTAGTAATTGCAACAATATTGCATCAAAAGATGGAAACTGGGAAAAGATTTTTTTTATTTTTTTTTCGTTTTTTCCCCCTCCATTGCAAAGATGAGGGTTAATTCACCTCTAATTGGCCATTTAATGGTAATGGTGAGGAGAATCTAAACTATAACATCAAGAATTCAAACGGTATTTACCTGAGGTAACTCAAAATATTGTAAGGAAGACCTGCTTTCTCATATTCTTTCCAAATCAGAAAGGAAGTCTGGGTATCCTTGGCATTGACACAGGCACTGAGGAGAAAATCCAGACTTTTCCTTGAAGGGCGAACACCAAGTTCCGTCTTGATAGCTTTTAGCAAACTCAGACCAAATTGCATATCTGTTGCCTCTTTCTCCGCATTTAAGCTAAATACCTAATTCAAATGCTTAAAACACATCAGAAGATGACATGCAATCAAGTTGCAAGAATATCCACAAAATTATTCCTAGTCTAGAATTTCCAGCAATAAACAGAAAAGGAAGATCTGGAGTTTCATAATCTTGAGCATATGAAGTATTTGATTTCTCACTGAGAGAGGGAAAAAAAAGTCAAAACCTCGTCAAACAGAGCATCTGTGGCAAGTTCAGCATTGTCAAAATTATTCTTGAGTTGCTTGAGCAAATCAACAATAGATCTAAAGCAAAGAAAGGACAAATATAACCAAGTGGGTTTATTAAAAGTAAATTTTACAAAAGCAGTAATAAAGTTTTGAGAACCTTAAATGCTCGTGTTGAATACAATATGAAATGACCTTGAAGCAGGTATCAACCCAGTATTGTGAATCATTTAATTCCTCGAGTAGCTGGAGCAGTCTATCTAACTCTCCTTCAGATTTAAGATGCTCCTGAGAGATAATTAAGATCATCAAAATATATGAGATCGAGAAAAATAAGAATTGTTTTCAAACAAAATGCACCAAACTAACTTACGATAAGACATCCGATTGCTTTTGGCTGCAGGTTGGATCCGGCTTCTTTGATTCCTTCATACATTTCAAAGGCCTCAGATAATTGCCCATGTGAAGCAAGGGCCGAGACAAGCACACTCTTGATTTCATTTAAGCTCTTCACTGGTATTCTCTTGTCTAAGAGAACCTGCACGTAATGACATTGTCAATATAGCAGCAGAGATACTGCTGTTACCTCAGCAGCATTCCCTGGCTTTCATCTACGAACTAGATCCATAATTTTTCGAAGCAGAAGGGGAAGTTGAAGATATAATCACAGGGATCTTTGATTTAGAAAAAAGTAACTGAAGCAGCACCAATGAGATTCCAACTTTACCTGTTTAGCCTTTTCAAACTGTCCACAGGCTGCATAGGCATTTATGAGGGCCATAAAAACAAACTTCGTGGGTTGAACTCCAGAGTTGCACATTTCGTTATAAAACTACAAGCAGAATGCCAACTAACAACAGTTAGTATGGACGTCAAAAAGCTGATCATGTAGATTATGCATACGGAAGCAAAATTGATTGTCCTGTAGTCCAATCATCACCACAAAAGAATGCAACAAGCATTTTTATCATCTTATCTGATCTAGTCTCCCCTCAAGAACAAAAATTGAGATGAAGCAGAATAAAATCTTGACAGACCATTTTATGGATAAAGTATGTTGTAGAGTCTTATCACCTAGGTTTTCGACCAGCATCTGCATATTTTACAGAAGTGCTTAATTTTAATTGATTCATCAAATATCAAGAGACATTGCAGGGCTACCAAATTCAAAATGACCTTCAGATTGCCTTTGACATAGCTCATGACCCTTGCAAATTTTTGTAAAACAGTAGTGACGTTTCCAAGACATAACTATTTTGGCCAAGCATAATTCTAAGAGAACCTTGATTATATCCTCCTCACAGTTACTGCTGCTTATAAGATAGCTGAAAGTTGCAGAGTCTGGTTTTACATCCGCCTCTTCCATTTGTTTGAGAACGTGTCGTCCACTGCAAATGTTCTTCTGCGGAATTCAGCCACAGAGCAGGTCAAAAACACAAAATGCATAAAACGAGATGCAAAACAAATCACCTCAAGTAAATTCGAAGCACTCAACTACATAGCATCGTCATAATCATTAACAAGTAAATAGGTGTGAATTGGCTCTGCAAAAAATGTTACAAGAGCAGAATCATTGTTGTCAATATGATTTGAATAAACTATTGCTTACAAAATGGACACCATTTGGCATAAATATCAAGTTATACAGGACATGAAAATATTTAGTCAAGCACAACAATTAATTTCAGAGGAAATGAATGGAAGGATTTCAGACAGCATTCATGTGAGTTGCTACTTTTCCTCAATAGAGACTTCAGATTCTGGAGTCAGTGAATATAAAATAATTTTTTTCCTTCTTGTGTGATAATTTAGGTCAAACATTCTTTTGCAAGTCTAATTGAATAAAAAAATGATTCTTTAATATATTTTTTCATTAAAAAAAAAAAAATTATCATTCATTTGAACCAATATGTCACCTAGAAGTCTCGGTCCTATCGATGGTCTAGCTCCAGTGGAAAAAACAGAAAATAGCAACCACTTAGACTGTTGACAGATCAGTTACTGATTAGCAGAGTCAACAACTTCAATTCCACATTCTTCCGTAGCATCACAAAATGACGACCATCAGCTTAGCACGGATGATGAAACATTTTCTAATATCTAATAAAATAAAAGGTTTAACAGAGTAAAGTGACATTCAAGACAAGTAAGGCACCTCACGAAGATATCCAATCATTATGGCGTTGAAAATGTTAACTGTTGGCGCCAAATTCATCTTGGCCAGATCATTCATCACTTCGTACGCTCCTTGAAACTGAACTTATAGGTAAAATGAGAAACGTAGTGGGTAAGAATGATTATATTCAATTATTGTAACTACACATAAAACACAATACATCAAAGAGGGAGACTTACGTCTTTCAACTTCACAAACAGAATAATCATCAACCTGCAGGTCTCAATATTTGGCTTCAGATCATGGCGATATATCATTGTCTTGATTTGATGAACCTTGGGATCATTTGAGATCATGTCAACATCATCCAATAACCAATGGCTTGATTAGGCAGTTTAAATTCAATAAGACAACTAACTGAACAAGACTCCCATGTTATTACTCTAAAAAATTCATATAAAGAAATGGCAGTGTTTGGAGAAATTTAACAGTAACAAACAAGACAAAGCAGAAGTGCTAGATCCTGTTTATTAAAAACGAGGTATGCTTCAGGCTTTTACTAAATCCCGACTTAATTAGCTCAATGCTGATGTATTACAACACACACATACATATCCATATCCAAAAGAGAAGTATCAACAATTACAACATTTGAACCTTTTGGAGGCCAGTGCCCAGTAGCTTTGACGTTTTAACTAATTCAAGATTCAGAGCGACACACTATGTACAGGAATAGGCTCTGCCATATTTAAAAATGGCAGCATCTACTCCATGTTTACCTATATTGAACTGACAGCCTCGCTGCAAAAATTACTAGAGAAGACATTGTTCGGCAAATATGCCTCTTTAGACTCTACTAAGAGGGTAAAGACTATAGTACTATAAATCGTAAAAGTAAAAAGATCATTATAAAGATAAAGCAATTATTACAATCTACAAGTTAGTTCAACAATTCTGTAAATCAGAGCATTTTGCCTGAGAAACCTTTCCAAGCCAATTTTATTATAAATATTTTCCTTTTTCTCTAGAAAATAGCAATTAATAACAAATCAAGACCCAGACGTGCAATTGTTACCCTGAACACGGGCAACAGCACAATTTGGAATCCAACTACATTTCGCTCAGAAGACAAAATCATATTTTGTGTGAAACACCCCTTGATGCATTTTGAATCTCTTCAATGATCAATGAAAATCATGCTGCATGATTACAAAGGAAAATCCAACAATTTTAAATGAAGAGAGAAGAAAAAAATTGGTATACCAGATTATAGTCACAGCTCTGCTCGCAGGCTTCTAAGATGGAATGAACCGTATCCAATGATAAAGTCAAACCAGCTTCGAACATCTCATCAACCATATAGAGTGCCTGGTGTACCTGAAGAGTATGTAGCAGCGTATCCTACTATCAAGTTCATAATCATTTCAAAGGAAATCTAGCACCAAGGGAGATTAAGTTGGCCAAGCCAGCCATGGGAGTGAGTTGGAGGTCATTCGGCCCAAAAAATGGTGAAATTTAGTTAAATATATCAACAAACAACAAACCAAGCTTCGTATCTAATAAAATTGGGTCACATTCACTTAAAAACTTTCTAAAATACCGTCTGTGCTTGATGAATTTAGGTAATAAAATGTTAAATTTACTTACACCCTATTTGACCCACATTTTTTTCTAGAAAGATACATTCTTAAACAATGATTTGACATCATTTCGACCACACCTTCTTCAATAAAATAATATGACATGCAAATTCAAAACCTTTCCTTATTTTTTAACTACACATTTCTCATCAATACACTATTCAAAAATATATTCTTATGGAAATAATGTGACTCAAACAAGGGCTTATATGTATATCAACAAACAACAAAAAACCAATCCTTGAATCCAATAAACTTGGGTCACATTTACTCAAATAACTTTCTAAAATAGATGTCCCATACCTTGTGGAGTTCACAGGAATATCTAATGAGCTTCTCATATTGTGCAGAAGTAGGCAACACGTCCAACTTAGTGTGTAAAGATTTGAAGTTATCAATGATTTCTTCAACCTTTCAGACAATAACAATGCATAATTAGAAGAAACTGTTAATTAAAGAAGAAACATATTAGGTAAACCATGGGCTTCATGACTATCATATAATCTGAAAAACTATGACCAACCTGAAACGTTAAATACCGATCAAGTTTGTAGGGCAGTTCGACATTCCCCAATGAAAGAGAATAAATTCGTTCAGAAACAAAAACTACGGATAACGACGCTGCTAGAATCTCAGCCGATGTGTGGACTTTAGTGAATTATTAATCAGATTTTATTATAATTGATTTTTTCCTTGTAGAGTTTAGGAAGGTAGGATATCCTGGGATATAATTCTTAGAGAATCTCCAAGAAACTCGATATTTTGCAATTTAGAGAGTTTTTTAATACTTCAACAACCTCTTTATTTTTAACACTTAATTTTACTACTCCCAATACGTATTTACTATTTTTTCTTACATTTTATTTTCGTCAACTTCCCTCGAAAATTATTATTTAATTTCCCCTCCATTATCTTTGTATATGCTATTTAGTTTGGTCAATATATGAAGCATTGAGAATTGGAATATTTTGAATGCATTGAATTTTAGAGAAGGTTATTTTTAAATGTTAATTTGAAGAGTCTCTTGAAATATAATTTTAGAGGTTACTCTTTAAAATAGAGAGTAGTTCACTTTTAAAGAGCCTTTTGAAGATGCTCATATCATTGTAACTTATGTTGTACTGCTAACCACTAATTACTCCTAGCATATAATGCGTGTTTTAATAGGATGTATCCCATTCTCTCTAATGAATAAGAAGGAACTATATGTTATTCCATTTAATTCTTCCTCTATTTCTGCAAATAGAAGCAAAGGTGCTGATGATGAGCGCTCTTCCAAAGGTCAAAGACTTAAAAGTTTTAAATATTCATAGAACACCCATCATTGATGTTGTGGGCAATGTCATGAAGTTTAGGCTACCATCCCTCCTTTCCAACAAAAGTAAAAAAGGCTCTTCACAACTTACAATTCTATAAAGTAAAAACAAATCCATCAACACACATATAACAATAACTTCAGTGGATTCAACAAATCTTCCAGGTTTACATCTTTCTTCAAAAGCAGGAAATAAAAGTTAACTCAAACTTGTTGCCTATTTCAATATCTTGCCAGACAAAAGACTCTTTGGGGTGTCAAAGACAATTTAAAACAATGTTGATAATGACTCTTTAAATAGATGATCATCACATTGGATATAAAAGAGAAACAAGAGAAACAGAGAATGCTGGCAGGAATCAAGCTGTTCTCACAATTTTCAAGTACATGAATCTCTTAAGTGTACTGCCATCAGGTTAACTGGACAGATTATCCTCGCCTTAGATCCAAAACCCAAAAATAAAATTAAAAAAATAAATAAATAATAATAATAATAATAATAATCAGAGAATGACTTGAAGGAACTAAGCAGTTCTCACAGTTTTCAAGCACGTGACCCCCATTGGGTCAATTCGCTAGGGAGGACTAGGATTGGGAAGTGGTAGGAGCCTCTCTGACTCTCTTGTTCGCTTGCCACAGTTGGACCAAACTGTTAAAATTCAGTTTTGTTCATAGAGAGTTGGGATTTTCATGTAAGGAAAAGAACCAAACTGGAAGCGAATCCATTCAATTTTGTCTATTAAGCCCAAGTCAAGAGTTGAAAACAACCAAAAACCTAATTTTTTTTCTAAGCCAATTCCTATTCAAATGGTTAGGTTTATGAGAAATTGCATTTTAATCCCAAGTACATTAACCAATCAATATTTGATATTATTCAAAAGAAAAACTCAAACACAATCCCAGGTCCATAGTACATGGAAACATGGAACCAGATCAAACAGGAAGGATCTCCTTGTCTTCTGAAATCAAAATCTAATTTCATGTCTTTTTGAACCAGACTGAAGCAGAAAATCGAATGTGATCCAGTTTGTTTCGTAAAATTATACTCACCTCTAATTGTATTTCACAAAAGGCTTTGTTTTCCTTGTCTTACACGTAGTATTCTAACTAGCTGAACAATTCTTAGGGAACAATTTCCATTATTCAATGAATATGAGGACTAAGTATGGGTCCATTTAGAAAGGGAAAGGGTCGTGTTAACAACTTAAAAAAACTGAATCTTTTTTCTGGATCTCTTTCTGCTTGCATTTGCAGCAAGCCATCCCAATGCATAGAGCTATGTCTATCATCCGGAAAATTTCAGTCATGGATGTCCACAATAACCCTACTAATAACGTGGAATTCAGTCATTCTGTATATTGGGGCCTTCTTAAATTGATTACCACGCTAAATATATCAAGCTTTTAACACGACAGGATATTTTTTCCTCCAGTAAGAGGTTAAATAACTGCTGTGCAATCGAAAAATATGAAAATTATATCTAAATTATGTAATGGGGCCATATGTCTTAAGATCACTTAAGACATTACTGTTTGAAGTTCATTTCTTGTGACAGATGAATAGTGCCCGAAATAGTCTAGAAAGCTAGACATGATAAAACCAAGAGCATGTGGTAGTGTGAGCTATATATTTACGAAGTTGTTTCCCTGAAAAAGCAAACTCCTGTTACGCAGGAGTGCTTCAAAAACTGACTAAAGAACATTACCAGTACCGTTCATGAGAAGTTCCTCACCCCTAAATTTGGTATGCTGATTGCATATTCGCAGATGAATTTTGACATGTTTTCAGGCCCGATATCTGCATTCAGACAAGAAGCCATAGCATGTTTCAGATAAAGAATAATATAAGGAGATATTGAACTCATATAGGTCATTCAATGTCCCGAATACCTCAGATGCCGCTTTCAGTACAAAACCATGATAAAATAAAAAAGAAAATGAATAGTTGACATAATAGGACAATGAATTGAATAAAAGGGATACATTTAACTGCGATAATGTAAAAATTCAAGCAGTTCTCTTTTCTGACTAATCTAAAAAAACAGTAAGTAAACCCATAAGCGATCTTTCTGTATGGAAATTAATGACTTCTTCAATGCGTTAATTGTAAAGTTACCTCACCAAAAATAAAAAATGAATTATATTCTTACCACTGCTTTTCAGTGTCCGCATGAAATCAACCACAATAGACTCCAATGAGAGTTTCCCTAATGACTTGAAGATACTCACTTTACATTCGACTGATGTGACTTTCGTTATGTCAAAAGCTTCCAGTAACAGCAAAATATCTTCTTTGCGGTCACTTTCACACAACGCCAACAATAAATTTTCTGCAAATTTATCGTAATTCTGAGGTTATAAGTAACATTATGCCTAAAAGACACTAGTCGCAAAACAAGCACGTGAATATAAAATACATTGAACAGGATATCGGTTTTTATACCACATCAAATGAAGGCCTAAAAGAAAATATATGATAACCTTTGATCTCATAGGAGAAGTAAATTATATACTAACTTCTGTATTATTCTGAAAATTAATACAAATATGCCTGCAATTACGAACCCAATGGCAATATCATTGCACAAATAAACTTATACAAGAATAAAATCATGCTTGTAGTAAAATTTAAGGAAACATACTGGCCAGGCATCTGATAGATAAGATTGCCAAACCTCGTGAACAAAGACTTCATCAGTATCAAACGGAAGGGAAACACAAATAATTTCACCAGCATTAGATACAACGGATACATTTTCAAGACAAAAAGAAATTCTCTGACTGCTGATGTTATCTTTGTCATACAGTGACAAAACCACCTAGTGGAAAGGAATTACATTTCTTCCGAAACAGAATAGTGTGAACAGTTAGGAAAAAGACACAATGTCTCCTCCCCATCAAGGAAAGAAACGAAGAAAAAAATAATAATAAAAGATAGAGATCTTGTCACCACAAACAGCCAAAGTCATAACATGATTGGAGAAGGAAACAGACCAGACTGCTAGACATAAATATTGTGTCAAAAAGAGAGAAAAAAAGGACAAAATTTAGACAGGAAAAAAAAAAGTGCAACTCCAATAACATACCTCGGAAGGAATATTTATCTTCTGCACTTTCATCCGTGATGGAACAGATAAGTTCTCGTATCTTTGCTTCATTTTTAACACCAATCCATAGCCGCATTTCATAATAAGCTAATCTCAGAAGTGAATCTGGATTTTCATCTTTAATGAGGTCGCGAAAGAAAAAAAATTCCTGAACCATACCCAGATCAATCAAATACATCAAGAATTGGCCATATGTTGCTTCTTCAATTTTGAAACCCAGTTCCTTCATTGTTTTAAAAAGTTGGCATCCCTTGTAAATCTCCTCTAATGAAACTTCTTCGTCATTGGCATCCCTTGCCCTCTGTATGCAATGCCCAATTAATGAATTATACTCCTTCAGGCCAGTTTCTCGTCCCAATCTGCCAAATAGCTCGAGGGTAGCATCTGTACCCAGCTTTACGGCACACATTTTGACCAGCCGATCAAATCGACTGGTTTGTGTATTCTTATATACCCACTTCTGCTTCCTCTCCCGTGATACTTTTTTCCTCCGCAATGAAATATCATTATTTGACATCCTTGATAGCCATGGCAAGTTCAAAACCTTTCCCAGAGGTTGTACATCCTCAAATTCATCATCCCAATCCAGATCCAGTCTATCTGCAGTTATAGACGAGTTGGGTTGGTCTCATAAGTTGATATATTATGAAGCATTCTGATTTGATAGTATTCAATACTATGAAGAATTCTGATTTGATAGTATTCAAAAAAAAAAAAAAAAAAGGGATAAATTATTGAATTTGTAAATTGAGAAGATTTCATACGGAAGCAGAACCATTATTTCAATTTTCACATTTATCTTCCAATTTCACCATTAAAAACATCGTAACAACACTATTGATAATACAAGATCACATACAGAAGCAGAACCACTATATCAACTTTCACATTTATCTTCCCATTTCACCATTCAAAATCATTGTAACTACACTATCATTTTTAAATTCAAAACCATTTAAATTCTAAATGCGCATACCATGTAATAAAGTGGACACTTCACTCGATAGCTGTTTTCCTGATTCATCTGCCATAAAACATGAAAACACAAGCAAATTTACCATAGCTACAGAGTGACAAAAATCCTTAAAAAAACTATTTTCAGTTCCTTTAAAATGCCTAAAAAGAAAAGGATAGGTCGATCATTTCAGTCGGTACCATCACCAGGTTTGGAACCCAGCTTCACGCTTTCGCGGACGACATCATAGAGAGAGGAATTGATGGCGGCGACGGAGGAGGTGATGGTAGTTGAATTGATAGCGGAGACGTACTGTTTTAAGGAGGCGTCTTCAGTAGTAGTGGAAGAGGCAGGCTTCTTCTTCTTCTTCTTCTTGGAGGCGGCAACGGCGGCTCCTGCTCCTGCTCCTTCGACTTTGATTTTGGAACGAATGGAATAGAATCTAGAGAAGGAGCGGACGACAGTGGCTAGGTTTTTGGTCGTTGAGGCGTGCATATGGACATGTGCGAGTTAAAGTGGGTGAAATGGGGTGAGTTTGCACAGAGAGAAGTGGAGGTGGGTTTGCAAGAAGGGAGAGGGAGAGGGAGATGGAGATGAATGGAAAATTTAACCGGTTGTCACTCGACTTATAAAATTTGTTATATATTAGTTTTATAACTTTTATTTGGTTTGATTGTATAATTTATGTTTTATGTTTTTTTCCCCAATAAAACCAGACATTATGGCGTATTTTATCAAAATCTTAAAATAAAAGTACAATATTTAAAAGGGGCTAAGCCAAATTTCTCACCAATGAAAAAATATAATAAACTTATCCCATCAAAGACGGGGAGTACAATGTAAATTATGACTAAAAACTAAAATTCACTCGTGTTTACCATGAAATAAACGTACTCCATTGCTTCGGTACTCAAACGTCTCAATGACGAATCTAAATTATTTTGCAATCACCAAGATCCAAACAGTCCAAATTTTCCCAACATAGTTGGAAGTTCACATAACTTAAGGAATTCATGAATTTAAAAAAATGAGGAACACACTTTTTCAATATATCAATCAATAATTTAGAGGCTGTTTGACACCTATTTTCTGGAAAAATGAATTTTAGAATAGTAGATTGATGGAAAATGTGTTGATGAAAAATAAGAAAAAAATTTTTATTTACATGTAATATTATTTTAATGAAAAATGTGTTTTTGAAAAAAAAAAAGAGAGAAAAATGTATTTTGAGAAAAATGAGAATCAAACGAAACCTTAGTAGAACTTCAAAAAATACTGGTCACCATATTGCATCTCACAAATTAAATCCAATTACTTAACTGATCGAATTTGTGACCTAACTAATGAAATATTTTGTTCTACTTGTTACTAGCTTTCAATATTTGATACACGTGTCGACACAAAAAATTGTGTTACTAATATAAGTTGGGTCACAAGCTTTGTCACTTGTGAACAATACTTGTAGATAAAATGCTTAATTGAAATAACAATATAAGTTAGGTGATAATTTTAAAATAAATTAAGTTAAATGACCAGTGTGAAACTAATATGTAAGTTGAGTGAGCTCTAATGAAATTGTTGGGTGTTTACTATTACTTTGCGTGGGACCTACTTGTTCAGTCATTATGACAAGTAGCATAACCCTTACTTTGAACACACAAATTTCATTCCATTTAAGTGAAAGAGATTCGGAAACTTTTGTAGGGGGGATTCCACTTATGTAAATTGTAAAGCTTGGAATAGAAAATGATGTATAACATCAATACAAATTATCCATGCATATAATTTATTTATTCTTTTCAGCTAGTTAGAGTTAGAAAATAAGTATGAAAATAGTAAATAACAGATTTTATTTAAGGGTGCATTTAATTCGTTTCTCTTTCAAATCGAACTAAACGGATCCAAGAATGAAGATATAAAATTATGGATCGGAACTATTGGTTCCAACTAAAAGACTTGTTAAAATTTCTTAGCTTTTCATAAATGAATAGGAAGGAGCGTTGTGAACATATCTAGAGAGTTTTTTGACGATTACACCCTATGAACATATCCAGAAAATTTGTGTTAGGTTACCTATGTGTTGAGTACTGTTTATAACACTCAAAACTAATTTTCATCACACGTTTCGAATGATTCATAAGTATCATCTATCTATTTATCCACTATTCATTTATATCAATTTATACTCTATTTGAATATAATTTTTAAATTGGTTGATAAATTTAGTCAAAAAAAAAAATCAAACATTAATATTAACAACACATGTATAATTACTGCTCTTCATTACTCGTACATTTTGTGGGTCTCAATACTATTATTATATATAAATTTGCCAAAAGTAGGCTAAAGTGATTGTAAAAGCTGTTGAGAAAAATGTAGGGAAATCTGAAAAAATTAATGAACTCCAAGGCACGAAAAAAACGTTATTTTTTAAGAGATGTTTCTCCCCTATCCAACAAAGTCACAATTGGGGTATGATAGAAAATCTCTCTTAGGATACAATGGAGGCGTTTGATTCAAATTGTGACTATTTGATCAAACCAAGAAGACACTCGAAAAGAACTGATTGATGCCAATAGAAAGAAAGAAGAATAATATTTTAATATATTTGCAAATGAGAATTCGCCCATAATTTATAGAAACTGAGGCAACTGTTTGAATCGGTGTATCCCTTGAAATCCTTGCGTACAGCTATTGGAAGTGATTATTAAAAAATGAACAGATGCACCTATTCAAAAAAACTTTTGAAAATAAAATTCTCTTTCGGGGGCGTTGCCCCCGAGCCCCTAAGGGGGCGCTGCCCCCTCAACCCCCGCGACCTAACCAAGCAAATCGAACCCCGTTGCGCAACGGCAAATCATTCGCAAAACAAAAAATTAAACACATGCAAAATGATAAAAAATATCTAACAAAAGCTTCCCAAACAATTTGGAATAGATAAGTAATAGTTATGGATCATACAAATTTTGTAGATTAAAAAAAGATATTTGACAATTATTAAAATGTTCATTTTTTATTAACATCCGTCCATGTTTCTTTGGTAAAAATAATAAGCACTTGTTTTAGCCCTACTATTTTAAATTCGGCCCTTGTTTGAGCCACATTATTTCCATGAACATGTATTTTTGAATAGTATATTGATGAAAAATGTGTGGTTAAAAAATAAAGAAAGATTTTGAATTTACGTGTAATATTATTTTATTGAAAAATGTGTTATTAAAATGATGTCAAATCACTATTAAAAAATGCATTTTTTGAAAAGAACGTGGATCAAAGAGGGCTTTAGTTTTTCAAAATTCATTTTTTAAGTACACATTCTCTTAATAAAATAATATTATTTACATAAAATCAAATTTTTTTCCACTTTTTAGATGAACATTCTCCTAAAAAATCACTTTTTAATAAATTTATTCACAGATAATGATGCTCAAATTGTGCTTAGTTGTTTTTTCTAATTCCAAATTTCTCATTCCCTTTCTCTTCGCTCTACTATACAACTCAATTCGGTAGGAGAGCTTAACTTTTCTCTTACGAATTACATGACGTGCATGTTGAGGTCAATGGATGGGTAGTTTGCAACATCCATCTCCATCCCCATCCCCATATACCGTTTCTGCCATGCTCTTAACCCACATATATGAAACGTAGAACTACAGGAATTGTGAGTGTGGTCACCATAAGACTCTCGATAACATCCTTTCAGTTGACCTCAATTTTTTATTTTTTATTTTTATTTTATAAAAAATTGACTTATAAAGAACATATGTAATTGATGAATCTAATATATTTTAATTTTGATTGAATTTGAAGGTTGGTTCAAGACGATATGCCGGTTTATATTGTCTTAAAGACAACACAAAAATTCGTGAGCCTTGATGATAAATTTCTATTTGATTTGTCCACAGTTCGTGCAAAGTTTGTGGTACAATTTATGCATGAAATGTTAACAACACATACAAGCCAAAATAAACATTTAGAACCAATCAAATGAATTCAAAGTAGATTAACCACTAACAGTCGGAGCAAAGAAAAATCAACAAGAAAAATATTTAGTCATAGGAAGGAAAGAAAAACCAATTTTTCGATTCGAACCGATCGATCCGATTGGGGAAATCATGAACCAGTACAAAAATCGATTCGATAGATACCTAAAAATCAAATATTAAAAAAGGGAATAAAAATCGACCAACTAGCTGGTCTAACCACAAAACCGATTGACCTGCAACCGATTTTAAGGATTTTGGCTTTTGCTTTTCTTATCAAGATTATAATAACAAATTTTTTTATGGGAAAAATTCATTTCTCAAGTGTATTGATTACACCAATGCAAAAATCCGGTAAAAAGTTTAAAATTCAAAATTCAGGTTTATATTTAGTTAATTAAAAAAATTTATTAATTAAAGATAATATTACACGATTAATGGTCACAGACTCATATTTGTGGGTCACAGATTTACTTACTGGTCACATATCGTCAAATTAATTGATCACATATTATTTCGAGGTCACAGATCAAAAATTTTGCAAGTCACAAATTATTTCGAAGTCACAAATTAAAAATTTTATAGTCACAGATTATCAAATTTTAAGGTCACGGACCAAATCTTTGAGATCACAAATTATTTTATAATCACATATTATTAAATTTTAAGGTCACAGACAAAATCATTGGTCACGTATAACAAACACTCTACTCCCGATCCCAATCCACCATCAATTCTTGATCACAGAGCAACCAAAATAATTGGTCACAAACACTATTACACCCTGCCCCCTCCACAACACCACCACGACCACCGCCAACAACAACCAAAACGACACCAAAACACAACGACCAACGGCACCACACCACACCACACCACCAACCACCACCAGCAAAATTTTTAATTTTTTTAGTGACATAAACCTAATTTTCGATCACAAATCAATGAAATAGCTGGTCACAGACGCCTAAATGGTTGGTCACTTATTCTAAACACCCTACCACCGATCAATTGCCGCTTGCAACACACCTCCGCAACACCACACCCTATCCCTATTCCATTCCAACACAATACTCACCGCACCCACACTCATCACCATCACATTCAACCACACCACCCATCTCACAACATCTATATCCAGCACCACCACACAGATCACATAAATCAGCTCACCACAACCTCTGCAGATCTACTACTCACCAAAACCCACCCACCTCGTCACCACCAGCAAATTTTTAATTTTTTTAGTGACATAAACCTAATTTTCGATCACAAATCAATGAAATAGCTGGTTACAGACGCCTAAATGGTTGGTCACATATTCTAAACACCCTACCACCGATCAATTGCCGCTTGCAACACCACACCCTATCCCTATCCCTATCCCATTCCAACACAATACTCACCGCACCCACACTCATCACCACCACATTCAACCACACCACCCGTCTCACAGCATCTATATCCAGCACCACCACACAGATCACATAAATCAGCTCACCACAACCTCTTCAGATCTACTACTCACCAAAACTCACCCATATATACTGCTTACCACAACAGATCGGAAAGAGAGAAAAAAAAACCCCAAATCCTCTCCCCACGACGGCACCAGT